TCACCTAAGTCCTGCTTCAAGGTCTCTAGCAAGGTTCCTCCCATGTTTCTGCCCCCAAACCTTGCAATAAGTTACTTTGGTAATTTTTATCTATGACACTGTGCTAAGCATAGGAAACACAAAAAGTGTGAACAAAGCATTAAAAGAACCAAAGAGCCAAGTCCAGGATTCACGTGCATATCAGCAAGTCAAGTTATTGGGGTCGATCCCTCCACTGCAGTTACTACGGTCTGTTTTGTCCTCCCGATATCCCTGCAGGAAGATGTTCAGTAAACGAACCGAACCAAGTCCTTAGGACTTTTATGATGTGGGAAACAAAGCCAGAAGGAAATGTAAATAAAATTAAATGTTCTTATAACCTGCAGCCCATTGACAATTACTTGATGCCGCAGCGTATAATGTTCTTCCAGGAAGCTCCCAACTGTCTTAATGTTAATGCCTTGCTAGAGGGAAAAACAACCTTAGCTTGACAATAGCAAGGCCTCCTTTATCTCGTGAGTACTTTTTGGCAAATCAAAGTCCTTTTGGAAACTTCCCTAGTCTTTACCTCCCCCAACTCCAACGTATATATAATCAGTTGCTCCTCACAATCCGCCCCCCCCCCGCCACAGCAGTTCTTCTGCCCCTGGGTCCCATCCTCGTGCTTTAGTAAAACCACCTTTTTGCACCGAAGGCGTCTAAGAATTCTTCCTGGGCCGTCAGTTCCAGACCCCAACAACACTACTCCAAAAAAAATCACATCAGTTTACACCAAGCTGTTCCACTAAGCCCTCTAGGAGAAGTGCCTAGTTTGAAAGAAACTGAGAATAAATGTTATAAACATTATTAAAGCCAAGGAATATGGGGGGGGTGCGTTTTGCAAAAGAGTTTTAGACCCCACTCTCTTCTAGCAAACCAGTAAGGTTAAAAACACACGTTTCAAAGAAGAAACAGGCATTCGCGTTTGAGTGTGACGGGAGCTCATTTACCCTTTTATTTTACAGCAGGTTCTACAACTTTGCGCCCCCAGCGAGCCCGCTCCTCCGGGATACAGGTCTCAAACCAGAGCGGCCTCGAACCTAAGCTAATCCTCTCTCTGCCTTTAAGTAAATACCCCCTGCCTCGAGCTCCGGGGAAACTGAACCTGTCTATGACACTCCCTGCAAAGGGGATGAGTTTCGCCCATTAACTAAGGAAGGAGAGAGAGAACACTTAATTTTCCCTCTCCCCCTTTTAGGAGAAGCGGTCAGGGGGTGAGCCGAGAGCTGGAGGTTGCTAGGACCACCCATTCCTGCTGGAGCGCTCAGCAGCCCCTCAGGATCCGGCGGTCTTTAGGACCCAGCGGTGGGCGTCCCGGAAAGGGAAGGGGCTGGGCCACGGGGGTGCGCGCCCCGGCCGGGAGGGTTTAAATTGCGCGCAGGCGCGGGCGGCGGAAGAGAGAGCGCGAACCTGTGGGTTGTGGGAATTTCAGGGGCGAGTTCGGCTTTTGCCGGCTCTGGAAGTTTCAGGTTCGTGTCCGGCGGCTGCGGGACCCTGGCCGGGGAGACCCTGCTCCTTCCGGCCTAGGCCTTTCGGGTCCCGCGAATTTTGAGGCCCCGTGGGACTGGAGGTGGAATCTGAGGGAAGCGGGGTATCGGGTAAAAACGCTGGGGAAGGTCCCCTGTGGGCCTCATAGCATCTGTCGGGCGCGAGCGGCAGGCGTCGCGGCGAGCCGAGGGCGGCCCGGGGCGTGGGTGCGAGGGGTCCCCGCGCTGGGGTTTTTACTCCGGCTTCTGCGCGCGGCAGGTGGGCGGTATCGGCAGGCAGTGATGCTGGCGCGCGTCGGGCGCCTACCTTGTGCCGGACACTGAACCTTTCTGGGCCAGGTTGCCTTGTACGCGGAGTCACTCATTCGCGGGACTCAGTATAGACTTGATGCGAGGTGGGAGAATTTATTTCCACCCTCGGCAATATAGCTTCATGTAGTTTGCCAAATTTCAGTCATTTGCCTTTCTCCTTCCTGGTTTTTGTCTCGCTTTTAATACCTCTACCATTGTTTACTTGATGTTTTTATTTGAACCCGCTTTTACATAAAGATGGTCTTTAAAACTTGATTTTGTTGGAAATAAAATAGAGCCGTAAGATACTTTGATTTAAAAAAGTGTTACTGGTGCCTGCAGAAGAGCCCAAAGTTTCTTGAGGCCTTTCTGCAACACTACGACTGTCTCCTTAATTTAAACGGATTGGAAGGGAAAAGGATGGTACTTCCATGGTTAATATCACATTAACGTTCGGTCCCAGCCACCTCCACTTCGGAAAACACTGCTCTGGGCAGACCTGCTCAGAATTGGCCCGTCTGTATTGTGATCGTAGAATTTCAGCGTCACTACTTACCCAAAATGGGATGTTAGACCTGTGGTGTGCCAGGTGCTGCCCAGGGAAGACAAACAATTGAACGGAATGCTCTTGAGTTCCATCTTTAACACTGTGACTTGACCACAAAAGCACTCTGCACATGCCTGTGTGGCGGAGAAGTAAAATTCGAATACTGGAACCGGGGAGTTCTCCACAGGAAGTCAGTTCCTGATCTTGGCGTTTCAACCGCTCCTCTTCAGGCCAGCAGCCCTGATACCATAAAGAGCGTGGTAACCTGCTGAATGTAATGATGATTTTTTTTTTTCAAAGGTATTTTGCCTTTAGTAAATAACCCAGCATATTTAAGTTTGAGCAGATCCAAAACTTAAGCTGTGTCTACATCAGATGAAAGCATTTTTTTCCTCGAGGAAATGTCTTTTTCAAAAGTTTTGGTGGTGTTTTTTTTTTTACCAACTTGTCCTACTTTCGAGGGAATGAATGGTCTTTCTCCTCCTTCCCATGCATGTGTGGTTCTAGAAAATGTAGGTAATAAAACTTGGAAATCTTAGAATTACTCTAAATAGCTGACTCGCTAAAGATGAATATCTTCCTTAGAGTTTTCAGGACTTTTAAATTCCGTTTTATTGAGATGTGATTCATCTGGGAGAGGAATGGTGGTAGCCTGTAAGGTGTCTGCATACAGCTTTTCTTATGCTGGAAGCTGAACCCTTTCCACCTAAAAATTGTTTTAGAATGGGGAAGGAATCTGTAAAGAACAGCCTGGGAACTCTGATTCTTTTACTAAGTGCCTGGCTTTACTGCTATTTGAGAATTCTTTGAAAGCTAGAGCTAACAATTTTTTTTCCTAAGGTGTTTCTATTCTGAAATAACTTTTTTGAAGTCACAAAACTGTAGCCATCAAAATCATTCCTTCAAAGTTCCTTTAATTCACAGTGAATTGTGATGGCTTAAATACCTCTTGCCAGCAGCCTCCAAGAGTCTAGAACACAAGAGGAATGTAAGTTTAGAAAACTTAAAAAACCTGAACTCTTCAAATATGTTAAGTACTAAGTCTGTCTAAATATTTCATGAAAACCTAGTTCTTGTATCCTGTTAACGATAATACAGTTATAACAAGCTTCTTTCTTAACCCTTAGCAGATTAGAAACAACTTGGGGGAAAAGCCTACTGAGTTCTAACAACTCTTAGAAGTGGACTGGACAGAACACTTAGAAAAAGAGACAAAGTCTAGGGCGACTAGTACAGGAGAAAGAAGTCCCATCCATCTCTGTAGTCCCTAAAGCTTCGTAAAACAGTATACATGCCAAGTGAGGTTAATAGGGATCCTGAGCCGAGAAGAACAGGTCAAATTATTGTCTAAATGCACTCAGTTTAAAAAAAAGTCTTGAATTGAAAAAGTGAGAAATTGTGAAATGTGATAGATACCTTAAGTTTTGTTTTGTTTTTTTTTAACTTGGCCAGCAACTGGCTGGCTCATTCAGTAGAGCCTGCAACATTTGATCAACCTACTTAAAAAAACAAAACAAAACCTTTCTAGCTTGAAACTTCAAAGTGTATTCATTTGCAAATCTTTTGGTGTGGAATCAAGCCTTTTGCGGGGGGAGGGGGTCCTGTGAACAGAGTTCTACAGTCAATCTTGGTATACCAAACTTGTGTCCTCAGTTTCTTTAAAAGAACAAAACTTTGACAATAATTTGAGCACAGACTCTTGGGTTAAATTTTTCTCTGGGTCTTCTATGAAAATTTTATTTTTACAAATTTTTTAAGATTTTATTTATTTGACAGAGACTCAGCGAGAGAAGGAACACAAGCAGGGAAGTGGGAGAGGGAGAAGCAGGCTTCCCGCTGAGCAGGGAGCCCGATGGGAGTGATTTTTTTTTTTTTAATCATAGTAAGAAACTGTTACTTAGCTATCTGAAAAATGTACTTGGCCTTTGCACTTGAATTGGTGGGATTTTGTAGGTAACAAAACCGAAAGTACTTCATCTAGTTTCTTAAATAGAAGCTTGACTGTTCTAGAAAACAAGTGTTTTGCTTCAGTGCAAGTTCTCTGCAGGTTTTAGTTTGATTTAGGACAGGGCCATTAAGGTAGTTGGGTCCTCATGGCAGCAAATCTAGATAATGTATATACAGAATTGAGCGTTTGACACTGTCTTGAGGATTTTGTTAAGCCTTATGGTAAATAGCTTATTTTTGGTGAAATAAGAAAGAATCGCTAAAGTCCTGTGGGCTCTCATGCTTGGGTGAAGAGTAGATTTGTAAACTCCAATTTGACCTCAAAAATTTGAGTAGTTATAGTTCTCGAAATTCCTTAAATTATCTTAACCCCAAGCACCTGTTAGAAGATTCAGCGTCAAGGGCGAATATTTTCATTTTGGAGTTTGGCCCCAACTCTTTCCTCAGGCCTCTAAGAACAAGATCTGGGTTGAAAGAAAGTAACTAGGATTTTTGCTGTCACTTTATTTGCCAGATTCCTGTAGCAGATTCTGGGAACGTGCCTCTGAACACCTCCAAAACAGCTGACGTTCGTTACGTGGCTCAGCATCTGGTAAGCGTCAGGTGTGCTGTGTGTGTTGCAGAAACTCATACTGATGGAATTTGAGAGCAACGGTTTGCCAGTTTCCTAGTGAATGGAAATAACAATATTTGTCTTTCATTTCCAGAAGTATGTCTCAGGAAGGTGATTATGGGAAGTGGACAATATCCAGTAGTGATGAAAGTGAGGAGGAAAAGCCAAAACTAGACAAGCCATCTACTTCTTCCCTCCTTCATGCTGGGCAGGGAGCAGCAAATGAACCAAGATACACCTGTTCTGAGGCTAGGAAAGCTGCCCATAAAAGGAAATTATCACCTGTAAAATTCAGCACAGATTCACAAGCTTCACCTCCCAAAAAGCGGAAGAGTGGTTCCCAGGAAGACCTGGGTTGGTGTCTCTCTAGCAGTGATGATGAACTGCAACCAGGAACACAGCAGAAGCAGGCTAAGAACATGGTGGTCAAAGAAGAGAGCGGCATCTCTTTTCCCAAAGACAGTGTCACCCAAAGAACTGGAAATCCTGGCTCTCCTGCCCACCAAGGACTAAAAGAGGAGGAAGAGGAGTATGAGACCTCAGGGGAAGGCCAAGATATTTGGGATATGTTGGAAAAAGGGAACCCCTTCCAATTTTACCTCACTAGAGTCTCTGGAATTAAGGCAAAGTATAACTCCAGAGCCCTCCACATCAAGGGTAAGTGGATGCTGCATGTCTGGGAGCTGTCAAACGGCACTTGAGAAGCTCCCCTTGGCAAAACAAGGAGGGTAACCTAGAACGATCTCTAAGAACCCTTCGAAGTCTTAACTACCCTCAGGAAAACTATCAGTTTGACCAACAAATTATGTGTTTGACAGCAAGCTGTTTACTTAGGGAATCACAGAGTGTTTCTCAGTCCTGTAGATCTACCAGTTGGAATACTTAGACAATTTTAAACATCGTGCTAACTTTTAAAGCTTAAACTTTAATGAAATAGCAGATATCTGACAGCAGTACCATCACCTAAAACTTGTTGATGCAGATTTGGGGCTCCATCCAGGTTCACTGAACCAAACTCTGGGAGCAGGGCCCTGCAGTCTGTTTTAAGAAGCTTTTCCGGGGATTCTAATGAGGGAGCAGAAGACCAGCTGAGGACAGGCAGGAGCTGACACCCCACAATCCCCATGGGATATATGTGACATTCCTCAGGCACTCCTGGCTGCCCTAAAGGAAAAACAGTTAATTTATAGAGATTAAAGTCCTGCAAAACATGAGTCTCCCTCAGTTTACAAAAGTCTTAGAAATGCTTTGTTCTTGTGAATTTCTATCAATGGCCTAGCTTCCAGAAGGAAATGTAGATACAATTAAATGTCCTTATGACCAGCAGCCTATTGACAGATACTTGAAGTGGGCAAAGTGTAATGTTCCTTCAGGAAGCTCCCAATTATCTTACTGTTAATGCTTTACTAGAAGGAAAACCAAGCTTCACTTGGCAATGGCAAGACCTCCAGTATCCTGTGAGTCTTCTTTAACAGACAAAAATCCTTTTGAAATCTCCCTTTTCCTTACCTTCCCCAACTCTCAAGTATATAATCAGCCACACCTCACAAACGCGGGGCAGCTTTTTCTGCCCACTGGTCCTGTCCTCGTGCTTTAATACAACCACCTTTTTGCGCCAGAGACATCTCAAGAATTCTTTCTTGGCCATTGGCTCCAAACCTCACCCCACCTAACTTCACCTATATTCCAAAACCCCATCACTAAAGCCCAATCAGGACTGAGAACCACTGCTTGGAAGCCAGGTTTTTGTTCCTGGTGAAGAGGCAAAAAACACCAGCAAGCAAATAGGTATTTCAGTTCCGAATCAAAAGATAGCCTTCGGTTGCTTTGCTTATTCCTCAGGGTGCATCTGTGTGATATTATGATGTATATGTATTTGGTCTTCATTCCTGGTTGGTTTTTGTCCCAGGCTCCTGTAAGAGCCCTAAAGTAATGAAGGTCAAAAGAATATTTTCTGGGGCGCCTGGGTGGCTCAGTTGGTTAAGCGTCTGCCTTGGGCTCGGGTCATGATCCCAGGGTCCTGGGATCAAGCCCTATGTCGCGCTCGCTCCCTGCTCAGCAGGGAGCCTGCTTCTCCCTATCCCTCTTCCTGCCACTTTCCCTGCTTGTTCTCTCTGTCAGATGAATAAAATCTTTAAAAAATTCTGTTCGTAACAAGCCCCTTTCAGTCATACCTGGGTTTGTTAATAAAGTGGCTTTTGGAAAGCCCTTGAGAATGGAGGACTGATTGCCAGGGGGACCCAATTGTGTCATTAAAGCTGGAACTTTCAGTCCCACCCCCACACCTCCAAGGAGGGGGAAAGGGGCTGGAGGTTGTTAATCATTAATGGCCTTTGTAATGAAGCCTCATTTAAAAAACCCTAACTGTGTAGGGGTTTGGAGAGCTTCCAGGGTGATGAACACATGGAGGTGCACACCCCTTCCCGCATACCTTGTTCTTTGCATCTCTCCCATCTGGCTGTTTGAGTTGTATCCTCTTATAAACTGGTAATCTAGTAAGTCAAGTGCTTTCCTGAGTTCCGTGAGGCATTCTAGCAAATTATCAAAGCCGAACAGAGGCCAAAGAGGGGATACCGTCAAGAAACTGCAATACATTCCTTTTGTGTACCTCTCATAAAGGTAGAAGCTTGGGCACCTGGGTGGCTTAGTCGGTTGGGCATCTGCCTTTGGCTCAGGCCATGATCCCAGGGTCCTGGGATCAAGTCCTGCTTCGGGCTCCCTGCTCATCGGGGAGCCTGCTTCTTGCTCTCTCCTTGCTCCTCCCCCTGCTTGTGTTTATGTGCACGCGTGCGTGAGCGCTGTCAGATTTATAAATATATATATATATATAGGAGCTTCCTTAAGGCAACTTCTTTTAAAATTTTTGTACCCCAGCATGTAGCTCAATATTTGGAAGAAGCACTCAGTAAGCATGGGTCAAATAAAGGAGGCTATTTTTTTTTCTGACAGCGCGCGTGCGTGTGTGCATGTACGAGCAGGGGGAGGGGCAGAGGGAGAGGGAGAAGCAACCTCCCCACTGAGCAGGGAGCCCGATGCAGGACTCGATCCCAGGACTCCAGGATCGCGACTGGAGCTGAAAGCAGACACTTAATGGACTGAACCACCCAGGCGCCCCAAAGGAGCCTACTCTTAATCCTCAGGCAGTTTGATGGTTAAGAGCACAAGTGCTAAAGCCAGATAGCCTGGCTTCAGATCCTGACTAGCCCTTTGTGGCCATGGACAGCCTCCTAAGGGGAGACCCCTCATCCACAGAGTGGGAATGAGCAACTCCAGCTCAGAAATGGCTGTGAAGAAGAGTGAATACAGGGACGGTGATAAGAGGGCCTGGCATCCAAGAGATACTAGTACAGCAGTTAAACGGTCAGCGGTGGTAACCATGTAATTCCTCTCCTGGTACAATTTATGAGAAGTGAGCTTTCTGATCTTACTTGAAATCAAGTTGGAATGGATGAGAGTTGCAACTCCCTTCAAGATGACCTGGAATGCTAGAAATGTGAGCTTGGGGTTGTGGGTGCTTCGGCTCTCCTTCACAGGAAGCAGGTGCTCTCAGGCTCCAGAAGACTATCTTGCTAGTCTTGGGATGGGGAGGTTTCTTGGAGAGGGATTTGAAGGAGATAAAAATTAAGATCTGGAAAGAACAATATGTTGGGGCGCCTGGGTGGCTCAGTCAGTTAAACGTCTGCCTTTGGCTTGGGTCATGATCCCGGGGTCCTGCCTCAGGCTCCTTGCTCAGCAGGGAGTCTGCTCCATCTCCCTCTACTCCCCCTGCTTGTGTGCTCTCTGTCAAATAAATCTTTAATAATAAAAAAAAAGTCCTTATTGTCCTTACTGGTAGTTTTTAAAATTGACCAGTCATCAAATTCTGAAATTGAGGTTTTAGTTTTACATTGTATTTTGTTAAAACGTAATAAATATTAAATAGCTCAAATTTTCTCTTGAATTTTATGGAACATGAAAGCCTAGCTTTGTAGTCCCTTCAGTTTTCTCAGCCAAATTTTGATTGTCAATGACTAAGTCAATTGTGATTATTACCAGATGATTTTTAACAAAAGATGAATTAGATATAAATGGGGTTTTTTTGTCTTCTCAGATATTCTGTCTCCTCTATTTGGGACACTTGTATCTTCAGCTCAGGTGAGTTTATGGTGTTTTTTTTCTTTGGGGGAAAAGGGACAACCCCACAAGAAAATAGGCGTGAGGACCTATCTCAGTCCTGTACGGGGTCCCCAAGATGGCCCATACCAGGAGGCTGGCACCAGGAGCCACAGTTGTGGTATCCAGCCATTAGCATGGAATAAGGATGCCACGATCAGTGGAGCTTCTAGCTCCGGCTTGGGTTACAAGGACTGGCCAAGAAGTCACGTTGGGAATTCCAACCTGAGGGACTTCGTTTTGGGACCCAGTTAATCTGGGATTCTAGTACAACTCCTGGGAAGGTATGGGTAGGTAGGTGAAGGCCCAGTTGTTTGATTCGATTTAGAAAACGGTTTCCTACACCTACCGAAAAGAAGTGAATAAAAGTTATGTGTAGTTCTTTGTGTTTGATTGCTCCTGCTTTATAGAGCTGGTCCCCTTGTGTTGATGAATCATGTTAATGCTTCAGGCTCTTGAGGAAATAGTGAGAAAACAGGTCACATCCACAAAGAAAGCAAAGCTGTTTGCTTTATGTCCAGCTTGTCCTCCAGAATCCTAGTCTCCAGATGGACATGGGGTGAATTTGTGTTCTTTTAGCTAGATTGGAGGGGAAGGGCCAGGGATTACCCGGGCATGGGGAGGAGCCCATGGATAAGTTCAGTGCAGAACTTGTAGTCAAGATGTAATTGTTCTAAGCCTAGTGAATGTCCAGTCCCAGAGGCCTGTTCACAAAGCTAGCTCATAAGTTAGGCTGAAAGGAAATGTTCTTTTCTAAGAGTCTTTTTTATAATCACCTAGGGGAAAAGGGATAAATTTGTAAGTCCTTTTATTTAAATTAATCAGAGGGCTCTTAGAAATAGGTAGTAAGATTATTTAGAAATACAAATACTGCCGAAGCCTGCGGGATCCTTTCTTTAGAACCTGTTTTCTTATGCACTACTCCAGTGATTTAGATTCTTTGAATCGGGAATTCCCTTCAAGATGTATTTTAGGCTTGAGTATTGTAGCACAACTGTCCAGGTTTATAAATAATATTTGGAGTTTGTAATTACTCTAGAGTTTCTTTCAATTCAATAACCAAACTGTTCTTACAGATTGCTTGCCTGAATTCCCATAACTCCATCCTTTTCTTTCCCCATCTAGTTTAACTACTGCTTTGACGTGGACTGGCTCATAAAACAGTATCCACCAGAGTTCAGGTGAGTACCACAGGATGTCTGATAACATCCTAACTGTAATGGGGCCTTAAAATGCAAGATTAATGTTTCTTAGGCAACTGCTGTTCATCTTTCTCAAGTATTTCTTTTGAAACTATTGAAATCCTACAAACTTAGTTATATAGGGAAAACAGCATTTGTTGATCTAATCTAAGTAGTCACATGCATTCCTAATACGGGTTTTAGCATTTGCCTCTGTTGCTGTTTCCAGAAGTAGATAAGGACAAAGCAATCCAAAGACAACTTCGATGATTAAGCGACTGCCTTCGGCTCAGGTAATGATCCTGAAGTCGCGGGATCGAGTCCCGCATCGGGCTCCCTGCTCAGTGGGGAGTCTGCTTCCCCCTCTCACCCTCCTGCCTCTCATGTATACACTCTCTCTCTCTCGCTCTCATTCTCGCTCTCTCAAATCTTTTAAAAAAAATAGACAACTTTGATTTTTTTTTAAGATTTTATTTACTTGACAGAGATACAGTGAGAGAGGGAACACAAGCAGGGGGAGTGGGAGAGGGAGAAGCAGGCCTCCCGCGGAGCAGGGAGCCCGACGTGGGGCTCAATCCCAGGACCCATGGGACCATGACCTGAGCCAAAGGCAGATGCTTAATGACTGAGCCACCCAGGCGCCCCAAGACAACTTTGATATTAATGTGAAAGAAAAGATCATTGCTACCTCCTTTCTAGACCTGTAAGCATGCCATACTTAGTACAGCAGTGCTGTTCAAAGAATTTTTTTTTTTAAGGTTTTATTTGCACACGAGTGCATAAGCAGGAGAGCAGCAGGCAGAGGGAGAGGAGAAGTAGACTCCCCACTGAGCAGGGAGCCTGATGTAGGACTTGATCCCAGGACCCCAGGATCACGACCTGAGCCAAAGGCAGACGCTTAACTGAGCTGCCTAGGTGCCCATGTTCAAAGAATCTTTGCAAATGATTCTTCCTGTGGTTTAGGAGCTAGTGAAGGGGGTCTTAGAGCTTCCCTTATCCAGATTATGGAGGTGATGGATTTTTCAGCTTGTCTTCTATAGTTCCTCAGCCTGGTGTTGGCAGTGTAGACCAGATAAAGATAGCATTGTACAGTGCCCTGCCATCTGTCCTGTTTTCAACATTCACCTAGCAAAACCCCTAACAGCAAGTAAGGTAAAGGAATATACCCACAGAATGATTGTCAAAGTCCTTGGTGCGTTTAGGACCTCAGATTCTAGAAACTTTATTAATAGTAGGTAAAATGCTATTGAAATTTCCCAAGTGGCTTTGACACACAAAGGCTTGTATTTGGTAACACATAGGATTAGTTTTAGCGATATGTAACAGAAAAGCAAAAATAACTGGCTTAAATGAGAGAAAATTATTTCTCCAACCTAAGAAGTCCAGATGGTAGACATTTGTGGTCTGGATTGGGGGTTACTATGGTTCTCAGGGACTTATCCACCTATTCTGTCTTTCTGTCCCACCATCCTGGTGCATATCTTCAAAGTCCCTTCATGGTCCAGGATGGCACCCGGGGCTCCAGGTCACTGGTCTCTGGTCCAGATGGCAGGAAGGAGAAAGGACAAAAGGGCCACATCCCAGCTGTGCTTCCTCTGAGTAGTCTCCTGGAAGTTCTACACAACACCTGCTTATATTTCATTGAGCAGGACTCAGCCACAAAATGCCTTGTTTCATTGAAATATAACAACCTGTTAGTCTGCATCATGCCGTGGGCCTGGGCTTGTTCACTCTTGGATCTTGGGGACTACTGCCATACCTAGCACACAGTAGGAGTTTAGTGAATATTAGGTCTGATGAGGAAATGCTCTTTGCTTGGTCTAAAGAAAGGGAAAGAAAAAACCATCATACTAGATAACAATAAATGTTTATCTTGTAATCTGAACCTGAAAACGAACACAGAGCTAACTATATGTTCTTTTGGATCAAAGAAGATAATTATTCAGGGACTTCCTCGAGTCACAACCTCTCTGGGTCACAACAGAGCTTTGGGATCAGGCCACATGACCCTGTTGTAAAGGTAACTGGCTAGTGGAGATTAACTGAATAGTGCTATGTGTTAGCTCTGTACTCCGTGACCACAAAGGCCAGAAATACTTGTCTGGTGGTACAGAAACACCTAGCATTCTTTAGTCAAGAGTCCAGCTTTATAAAAGATGTATTCTAAATACTTCTGATCTATTCTCAGGAAGAAACCAATCCTGCTTGTGCATGGAGATAAACGAGAAGCTAAGGCTCACTTACATGCCCAGGCCAAGCCTTATGAAAACATTTCCCTTTGCCAGGTAGGCTGCTTATTGCTGTTTGAGATCCTGCTTAGTCTGAGAGTTGGAAAGAAATTTAGACATTTAGTCTATCCACCCACCTAGAGCAAGAATCCTTTCTTTAGTATCACCAACGGATACTTGTCTAGCCTTGACTTAAATGCTTCCTGAGAGAGCCCATCTGTGTGTGGGTAGCCCTTGTGGTTGGAAGGATTTTTCTTTATGTTGACCTGATGTCTCTGTATTTGTCAGGTTCTCCAGAGAAACATAACCGATAGGATATGTGTGTGTAGAAAGACTTCTTTGAAAAGAATTGGCTCACATGATTGTGGGGACTGGCAAGTCCAAACTTTGTAGGATAGGCCTGCGGGCTGGAGACCCAGAAGAGAGTAGGTGCTGTAGCTCAGGTCCAAAGATAGTCTGAAGACTGAGTTCCCGCTTCCTTGAGGGAGTTGGTCTTTTTTTCTTTAGGCCTTCAACTGACTGGATGAGGTCCACAAACAAAGGGTAATCTGTTTTACTCCGTCTACTAATTTAAATGTCAACCTCATCTAAAAATAACCTTCATGGCAATATCTGACCAGGTATCTGGGTACTGTGACCTAGCCAAGTTGACACAAAAAAATAAATCCTCACCATCTCCTTTTACCTTTCATGTTTGGGTCCTGATTTCCCTTCTCTAGAGCCACATAGAATAAATCTCATCTCAGATGTGACTGATGCTTGTATGTGAAGTCCTCTATTGTACCTCCTTAGTTTTCTTTCAGGTTTGAGCATGGTTTCTTAAGTTGTACTTGTAACAAGAATCCCTGTCTTCCCCCAACCTGCCAGTACTCCTCTGTTTGCATCTAGTTTGTCAGTCAATGTTCTTCTCGAACCTAACCAGATATTCTGGATGCAATTCAGTGGCTGCTGCTTTCTGAGTGCAGCTTAAAACTTTTTATTTTGACAACTTACCTGACTGGTAGTAGCTGCTGTTGCTCCTTGACCCGTAGTCCTCTGATCTTTTTCACGTGAATTGCGGCCAAGGTCTATACTGGAGAGATGGACAAACTAAAAGCAAACCTGTTAGGAAACTGCCTGTGTGAATTGAGCTGCAAATGATCCACGCCTGATGGGGGGTGTTAAGTGGTCTTGTAACAGGTGTATCTGCTTGGTTTGCTGGGACCAAAGCAGAGCAGAAAAGGCCAGAAAGTTGTTGCCCAGGTTTTTGTTATAGTCCTGGAATTCTGTCCTAATGCTCTTCAGTCCATACATGGAAATACACTGGAAGTCTTAGACTTCCATTATCACTGGTTGCTTTTGATTCCACCTTGAAGAGAATATTGTGTGTGGCATTTCGTGCAAGAAACCGGCACACTGGGGAGAGAAAAGCAAGGATTTCCTTCCTATGGAAATGGTGGCTGTGAAGTGACTGGTGTCGTACTGACCTTCTGTTTTAGTGGCTGGGCAGTTCATTTCCAAGCAGCCACGGTAAGATACTTCCATAGCCCCTTTCTCTCCCTGCCAGAGTGAGATGGCCTCCAGATTTCTACTCTTGGAGTGCATTGACAAGAGTGAACTACACAGAACCTAGATGATTTTTCTCCATTTTCTTTCTAGTGTTTTTTTTTTTCTCCCTGTCCAAATAAGATGTAAGAATTCCAACTCATTTTGATATTCTTTCAACTATAAAACATTATCTGTGTATATGTGGTTATTTTTAAAGATTCAAAGGGAGAAACCTCAGTTGGATCAACCTTAAACCGGTCTTAAATTTTTCCTATGATTTAACCCACAGTACTTTATATAGTTGGGAGTTTTAAAACAGTCACTCTTACCCAACATGTTTGTGGCTCACCTTCTACACATAGATAAGCCTCTGCTTGGCGGTTGCCTAAAATCCCATGGTTTGCTTTTGCTTCCAAAAGAAGAGGTTTAACTGCAGTAGGATAATGCTCATAAGACTAATTGTGGGTGGAAGATAGCACAGGAATCCTAAAAACCAGTCATTAAATCAATGGAAATAGTCTTTTTCAGATACTAGCTCCTTGTACTAAAAAGTAGGGTGAGTGTGTGGCATGTCTGGTGGTGTGCTCCAGGCCAGCCACTAGAGGGCATGGTCGTCTTTACCGCGAGCGAAGAGATTTTCAGATGGTCCCATTTCTAGTCTGAAGTATAGATTTGTGGCCCCATCCTGGCCTGTTGAAATATTGTTACATCTTGTCTGTAAAATGAATTCTTGGGGTTTTTTGGGGGGGGCACAACATAGTGTTACTTGATGAAGCTGAGGCATACTAGTCAAAGAATCAGCATATGCTCCCATTTTGCACACTTGGGACCTGAGGCCAGAGATTGAGGCCTTGTGGTGGTCAAGGTTCAAACTGCTTGGGTTCTGAAGTTCTCTACCCACTATGTCCTTCTGGGCCCATCACTTCTGTAAGCCTAATTTGTTTATCTTTAAGATGGATTGCTAATAGTCTTTTTCACTGGGTTTTTGTGCCAAGGATTTGGTGCATTTGCCCAAAAAGCATCTGTTAACTATTACCTATTCAAGTTAATATCCTTGTGCTTAGACTTGCCTAAGAGCAAACAGCTTATAGCAGAACTAAATTCAGAAGCCAAGTCTCTTGACCATTGCTTTTTCTGAGCTAAATATCAGTTTACAGAGAGGCAGTTTTCATTCTAATTGTGTAATTTTAAAGACCTACTATTCCCTGATCTCTCTTCATTTGTGTGGCCAGAACATACAAATGAATTCTGGTCTGAGTGTCCCCAAACACTGAGCTTAAGAATGTAGTGAGCAGGGCCACCTGTCTGAGCATTCCCAAGATGGGCTGTGTCATACTCCCCTGTGTTCCAATTGCCTCTTTCTGTCTCCAGCAAACAGCTCCATCCTTCTGCCCTGTTGGGGCGGGGAGCTTGATTATAGTAGCACTTGGTTCCGTTTGTAGAGTGCTTACCCCACGCAGGCCCTATTTTCTAGACAGTTCGTGTAATTGTCTCTTTTGCTCCTAAAACTCTGAATCCCCTCATTGTAAAGAGAAAGATGAGGCATAGAGACTTAAGTATTTTTCAAAGTGGCCCAGAGTTGTAAGGATGGGATTTGTGTCCCTACACCCGCATTCCTCACTGTTGAGCTGGTTTGACATTTCTGTTTAACTCTTTCATAGCCTACATCTTCAGGCGTATTCTACTTAACCAAGATCTTGCTCTACTGGATGTTAGATAATTTTAATTCTTCACCCACTCCTGTTTGTTTGTAAAGGTATCATTTTGTAATAGGAAAATAGATTGAATACATTATCTCTTTTCAGCACTTGCTAGGTTGTCAATATAAGAGAACTTCTGTTTTAACATCAGTGTATGCTACCACATTTTTTTTAATATTTGGTCTAGAAACTGATAACGTTAATTTCTGTATAAGCCAGATATCTTAAAATTTTGCATAGGGTCTCATTTGGTTTTTTTGGCAACTAAAGAAATCTGGCTTCTTGCTTTGATTACTCTAATTAAAAATGGAGTATGTATCAAATCATTCTGGCTAACAGAAAAAAGTCTTAACGAGCCTCACTGGGTAGGATTATAAAAGTTGTAGTGTCAGTCCAGGGCTTGTCCACTAGAGGGCAGTAAAAACAATTCAAAACAAAGTTGACCGGAACCTTTTCTAACTTAATTTTCAATAGATAGGGATATTCGGTTTGTTAAAAATAAGTGACTCAACTTCTTTTTCATCCTAGGCAAAGTTGGATATTGCATTTGGAACACATCACACGTAAGCAAATTTTTATGGGATGGGGGAGGGTATGATTTTAGTAGAGCCAAGGAGGTAACTCCAAAAGTGCTTTTGAAGGAACTCACAGGTGACAGTTTTGCCAGGGAAAAGAATCTGTCAGTAAAAAGTAGAGGCAGTGGAACTGTTTACTAATGACTTAAGACAAAGTCCTGGGATTCTGGCTCTCAACATGAAAATCTGAATCTGTGATGGGGTTTCTGCTTTCTTTCTGTTCAGGACATTTCTTATAGCCAACTTGGGTGGCTATTTGGTGGTTGTGTGGTCCATGGTTATGGATGACTGTATGTGTGGGTCATGTGCTTGTGGATTCTACTACCTTAAAGTCTGGTGATCTCTTAAGATGCTGAGTTGCATTAAAGAGAATATTGTTAGGTCAGCCTCATGCTGTGATAGAAAGAAAAACTATTTTACAAAGTTGTTAACTTGAGAGGCTGATGCCTATCGCTGCTCAAGACTTCTTAGAAGTTCCTTTTAGAATAATTTTGAGATGTTGTAAACCAGACAGGAAAAACTATTACTGCCTACCTGACACGTACCTAATGATCAGTTTTACTCCCGTTCTGCTGCCATGAGTCTTAAAGCTGTTTGAGCCTTTTTACATAATTGTTCTATAAATGAGAAAAAGAATAAGACATGGTTGTCCCTCTTTCAATATTTTTATAAATCACATTTCTCTAGAAAGGATTTGTCAAAAGAATGTGACAAAGCCTCATCTTTGAGACCAATGGTGTAAATGGGTTGGTATTGCAAGCAGATTCCTTCAGGTGTCCATCTCTAGGGCAACAAGGGATCTCATAGGAGGAATATTAGTCCTGAGTCTTGCTGTGGCCATTGTTTTCTTGATGTTATGGTGACTTGAAATAAGGAAATATGTTCATCTTTCTTTGGCAAAATACAGTTTGAAGCATACAGCCTGTTTTAAAAAGGAACCAGAGCAGGAAGAGTTGAGCCATTTCATAAAAGGATGCCTTTCAACCCTGCATTATCTGGTCTTAGATCCCCTTGACGTTGCAGTGTTTACCAACCATCCCTAAATGGTAGCTTCTAACAGGACAGGGTTTGAGGATTGTTGTGAACTTTAAGCATTTAGCTCAGGTATAAATTACTCTTTATGTAGCACTGAGGTCACAGGATGCTAATTACAGCAAAGGATACAAAATAGCCTTGAATAGACTGAATAGGTATCTTAGACTTCCCTCCCTGCATCACAGGAGAGCCTGTGGTGGATGGCAATAGTCAACCTGTCCTAGGTAGACATTCTGCCAGCAGTGGATAGCACTGAATGGATCCTAGCCCACTGCCCTTAGTTGGACCCCTAGCATAAATACCTTACTGGTTCTAAAATACTGCCCCCCCATTTGGGCCCTGGACATGATTTGCTAGATCTTTAGTGCCAGCTTCCTGCACTAGCCATACATTCTGAGCCCGCAGTCCACATTGGGCGTAATCATGCTGCAGTTACATGCTGGCACATAGGAGAGCCTGTGTCTTCCATCTTCATTTCAGTTACACTGTAAGTCCTGAGGGACTGAGCGTGTTGGGCCTGGCCAGGATCTAGCACAGTGACATTTGATTGATCCAGAGGGGCTATCCCTTTTTTTTTATGCTATTTAACAAATTATTTGGTCCTTCCTTTTCATTATATAGAGGTCCTGAGTGGATAAGCAGTTACCTTCTAGCTACTGTTGAAGATAGGACTAGAACTCATTTAAGTTTTTATTCTCATTTGTTTACAGCTAAAACAGCTAGTTTCCTTTGGTCTGCTCTTCCCCCTCACCCCCATTACACACACACACACTTAGCGGATTGAACCCAGCAGAGTTACTCACTTGGAGTTGTAAATGCCTAGGGAAGCAGTTACAACAGAGTCCTTCCCAGCCACATAGTCTGTGTAGTTCACATTTTGTTAAAATGCCAGTATCTTGTAGGAGATTAAACTCATGTCTCGAAGTTACTCAGTTGCTCATTAAAAAAAATTTTTTTAAAGAATTCATTAAATATTGAGACACAGTTCTAGTGTTTTGAGATGTAATAGTTCTTCTAGCTCTTAGTGTTTGGGTGAGAGAGGCGAAATTATAGGAGTTAGAAAAAGGAGGAAGCCTTCCAGCTCCTGGTCCTGGGGTGTCACGTGCCTCCCCAACTTGAGAGTGTAGCTACTGCAGTAAATAGGGAATAGTCTTTGACATTCACTTTAGCAAGCATGCATTGACCATGTACTGTGCATAGAGCATCCGAAGACCACCAAGATGTAGCCCCCATCATCATCATCCCTGTTAGGTACAATAAACATGCTTTATCCATGTCTCTGTAGGATGCCATGCAGTCCCAGGGCCTGTCACCCAGTGCTTTAGAATTCTGAAGCTTTTCAGTGTCTCCCAGAGCTGGGAGCAAAAGTACTTCTGGCCCTGATAATCAATACCGGGGAAGGAAGGAAGCCCAAGCTGCCAAATGGGAATGTCTAACTGGGAACCAGTGGCAGACTGCAGGGTGGTCAAGGCACCCCTTTCTGCTTGCTTCTGTAGCCGGCCTCCCAGCACACATGACTTAGTCCTTCATCTCCCCCAGACCACATTGTCTGCCCGTCCACCCACTCACATGCCAGTTGTGTGAAGTGTCCTTGGCCCCGTTCTTCCCTGTGGAAACTGTGCACAGTGAGAGAAAGATCCCAGCCCGTGTGGTCCAGACAAGCTCTCCTGGCTCATTCGGGAACCTTGATCATTCCCATTGCCTACCCAGCCGTAGATTCTGTGGTTGTAGAATGCGAGTTAACGCCTCCTGGATTGCTGTGGGGGTTTGGTGTGTTGCTGTTCTGGAGAGCTGCTGGCGTGCCTGGCGCGTAGGTGCTCCGCAGACCTTTGTGTTCTCCCCCCTTTACATGAGTAGCTCCAGATTGGGAAATAATCCCTTTTGCTGCCCCCACAACTTAACAGGTGATAGGGAGGGCAGCGTTTCTTCAAGGGACACCTCCTTTCTTATCCTTTATCCATTTTTAATTGTGATTTTTATTAGCTCATGCCATTTTGTCCGAGATGATGGCTCTCCTTAGAATAACTCCCAGTTCTGTTGGGTAGGATTCACTGACAGCAGTACATGATTTTCCTGATAATTGATGCCTTGATTAATGGAAATATTTGTGAAACTTACATCTTGAATTCATAACTGGCCTTATTCTTAATTATAGTCAGCTGCTAATTTGGCAACTGTGTGTGTAAATCTGCCCAGATTTCAGGGAGCACGTTTCATAAATGGAGAAAAGATGGGTTCAGCAGCTGTCACTTCTCCAGCTTTGCATTAACTTACTGTTTGCCAGCTTCGGTTAACTTCTCATTTTGGCAAGAGCTAAATATCTCATTCTCTATTCTTTGCATTATCTTTTTGTGTTAACCTCATCCTGTCCAAATACTATTCACGGTATTGTTGGTTTGGAGAGAACCAGTGGTTCATTTTGCCCCCCATGTGTGAACTGACATCAGTAGGTATTAAGTAGCATTTTGGCCCCAGTGGAAATAAGGCAGAGTGACTGCCTTGAGGAGGGAATCTCTAGTTACAGGGAGAGAACTTAGATTCCTGAAATAATTAGGAAACAATTGGAAGGCCAAAAGCCCTCCAGTAGTAGATGAAAAAATGAAGCAAGACACTGAAGGAGTCCTGGAAATGCACACATTTGAGAGTTTGTTTCATGAACGCATGTTACATTTCCTTCTCACAACCCTATGCAGCAGGGAAGGGGTTTACCCTTCGTTTTGTAAATGAGAAACTGAGGGACACTGAGTGACTTCCTTAGGGTCCTATGGCCTCCAACTGATGACTGGAACAGGTCTTCCAGCTTCAAGTAGAAAGCTTTTGTTTGTATCCTGTTCCTTCTCTCGCTAGAATTAAAATATGAGAACTCTGATGACCAGAGGCCTGGGGAAGGAAGGCCCGTGGCAAAGGGAGGATTCAACTGGGTCTGATTTGAGTAAATGAAGAAAAGGAAAGATTTATTTCAAGGCCAGAAATGCATTGGTGATGAGTATGGCATTTGTGGGGTATGAGAAAAAATCAGTCTTAGGATAGTGAGGCATTTCCAAACTTTTCTAAGTCGCAGCTCACATTAAAAAATACAGCGTACATTTTAGTCTGCCACACGTATCCATACTCATGTGCTAAAACCAGTTATTTAAGTATCTACAATATATATTTCAGTTTCTAACTTGATTGCAACTTTTTTAAGATACATTTATTTTAGAGAGCGTAAGCAGGAGGGGCAGAAGGAGATAGAATCTTAAGCAGACTCTCTGTTGAGCACAGAGCCCAATGTGGGGCTCGATCCTAACGACCCTGAGATCATGACCTGAGCCAAAATCAAGAGTCAGATGCTTAACTGACTAAGCCACCCAGGCACCCCTTTATTGCAACTTCTTAAAAAAATGCTAGCCATGATGTAGCAGAAGGTTGTGACCATACTTTGAAAAACACTGGACAGGAAGCTTTCCATAGTCCGGAATAGTAGCAGATAATGGATAAGGGTAAGGGCTCGGAGTGTCAGGCTGGGAACGTGGGCAGGATGAGGCACACGTTCACTTACCAATACTCAGCATTTTGGAAGGTGGTTTTCTGCCTATCACTGAAATAGACTTTGATTTTAATAATGTGTAGAAGAAATGAAGATTATAAATGTTTGAGTATTAGAAGGGTCTAAGAACTCCTTTAGCTATGATATTTGCACTGGAAAAATAGTACATATTTTAAAAGTGGTGTTAATGCTTTTGGTCTCTTCTCTGTTCTTAAAGGAAAATGATGTTCCTGCTGTACGAAGAAGGCCTCCGGGTTGTCATCCACACCTCCAACCTCATCCGTGCTGACTGGCACCAGAAGACTCAGGGGTTTGTAGGCTTCTAGTTACTTCACAGCAGTGGCTGTGGGTGGCATTCCCTTTTCCTTTTCTTATATTGTTTTAAAAAAAAAGAACACCCTCACATGTGGCACAGAAAAGAGACCTACACAGAAATAGTATTTTACTACTGCCCTGCCCCAGGCTGACTCTCTTGAAGGAACGAGTGCTAACAGTTTAGTACATGCGCATCTGTGACTATTACATGTGTACAGAAATACTTTTTTTTCCCCTAGCTCTTAACAAAAATGGGATTATACACACTCTGCAGCCAGGCACAGGGAACAGGCATATGCAAAGGATCTGAGGCAGGAAAGAGGGTATAAAATGTAAGGTCTGAACCCATTTTTTTGGTGAGACCCATCAGTAACTTGCCCCGGAACCCACTATACTCTTGCTTGCCATTTCCCAGATGGTAGTGAAGGGAAACTTAGTGGTTAATCATATGCTAAAAACTTCCTGTCATCCTCAGTTTATTTTTCCATGAAAGAAATCTGATGTCTAAGCCTTTAATATGGTCCTGGTCATGAATCACCAAGAGAAAAATTGAATTTGACATTTTTACATGCTTTTTTTGTTATTACTAATTCTTTGTTCTTGGTATACTTATGCTAGATCTAGTCTTTGAATCCTTTTTAGAAGAGGGGCTTGGTTTTTTGTTTTGGGGATTTGCTCACATCAAATTTTAAGCATTGTTCTCCCACTTGGTAAGCTCTTCCTTCTGGTTGGCTTTCACTTCCATTTTTTTAAGCCATTTTGTACATCTCTGCCTTCTCCAGGTTGAGAAGAAACTCAAGCATTCATCTAGCAGCTTTCATAGTTCCCATATTCTCCACTCTCCTCCTCCCCAGCCTCACGCTCCTTGTCACTGCCCAGGCTGTGTAGAACTCTTAATTTCAGGACATGGTAGCTCTGGCAGAGCCCAAGTCACACCTTAGGTTGAACTGAAATGCAGGACCTTCTAGACTCCGTCCTGTGGGCTTGGTTCGACTCCACTGCTGTGTAGAACAAGAGTACCCTCTCTCCTTTCAGACAGCCCTTCTAGTTTGAAAAGCAGGCTTTTTCCTGAGCCCAACATCTCTAGCTCTCTCTTTACCCCCCTAGCAAGTGGCTTAGAGCCCCACCCCCAGGGCTGACAGTTTTTCTGTAAACATGTTCCAGTTTTCAAGTGTCCCACTTAAAATCTCAAAATGCAGTTAATTCCAGCTGGTTCAGGGTGGAGGGGATCACCACTGTCTCTAAAAGCCTCAGCCACAGGAGGACCCTTGATCAACTGAATTTAGAGTTAACTACACCTTTGCTATTCCTACAGCTGCTTAGCTGCTGGGTTGGGTTTTGAAACTCATGAGTCATAATGGAGTTTATCAAGTTGGCACTGAGTCTTATGTGGCTCAAAGAAAGAATCCCACCCATGGCCCCCAGCTCTTTTTGGAGTCAGAAGCTTGAGCCATGCTTCTTTAGGTCTTTCCAGGATGGCTGCTATGGGGGAAGGGATTAAGGATAATGATTCAGGTGTTCAGGTTTTTTTTCCATTATGGAAAAAGTGTTTTTTTAATTCTTTAAAATTGACTAGTTTCTAGCTTCACATGGTTTCAAACTTAAAGTATCAAGGGTGTGAAATCTCCAATTTCCCTCTGCCAGCCACCCTCAAGTAGGATACTGTTATCCCACAGTGAGTCTAGATTCTAATCTCAAATTTGCATTTTTGTGTTGTGTGTTATAATTTTTTAAATGTTTAAAAGTAGTCCTTTTGTGTAATTTTCATGATTGGTCTGCTAGTTATGCTCTGGTCCTTTTTCTGCTATACAAGTGTTTCAGCCATCCTTTTCAGCTGCTGCTTGGTCTGCCTTTTAATTTCTCACTTTTAAAATTATTTGGCCCACGATAATTTCACATTTTACTTTGTCAAGTGCTAAAAACACCTCACATCTCCGTATCCTGGTTTAGAAAGTCGTCATCTGTCCTGTTCCTCATCCAGACACGGTTGTGAGTGAGCCTCTAATCTAGGAGAAGCCCAGCAGCCTGTGGGCTCTGAATTGCTATTTGTGAGGGAGAGACTGACACATCCGTCCAGCCCAGCGTGCGCATTTTACACATAGAGAGGCAGGCGCTCACAGAGGTGGTTGGGCTGGTGCCAAATGACACAGCCAGTTAGAAGCAGATCTGGCCCCAGAACCTGGGCTGTAGTCCTTGTCACACATGTTACCCCTTGTACAAGGGGTCTCCTCAAGGTGGGAAGGAAAGGTGTGACATGCCACCCTGCTAGAAACGTATGCATTTCAGAAGATGTACATGCAGGACCCTTATGGGTCTGGATTTTTCCTGCCCTGGTGGCCTGCATCTCGCCAGTCTCCTTTGAGGGTTGCCAGGTGAAAGGAATTGCGCAGTTTCTCTTTGGGCTTAATGGGTAGAACTTCAGTGGGATAGCCACAGAAGTGGAAAGGTGGTAACAGCAAATACATCCTTAGTGCTTGTTTAAGCCTGGACGTTGTTCATTATCTCAGGTGTGAGGCACACGTGTCCTGTGATGCAGGACTGCTAGCCTGGTTTTGCAGTTGAAACTGAGCACGAGATTTGAAGCCATACTTGTTTGTGGTCTGTCTGGGAGCGCGTCATAGAAGGATTGGGTTTAGATATGCTTTTCCCACTTGTGGATGTATAGAAGTTTGGGTGAACAGAATTGTCCTCCTTTGAGGAGAATTGGCAAAATGAAAGATGTCTTTAATATTTTGTTTACTAAGTTATTTGAAAGTCTGAGGTTAGTATAAATGTAATAGCATTAAATGTGGTATCTACTCATTGCAGATGCCAGAAAAGTACAGGATATGCAAATATCTCAAACTGCTATAGCATATATGTCATGAAAATGAGTTCATTTATTGTAAATAGATTTGTATATACATTTTTCTTAGTGTAGGTAACTTTTTCCCATTTGCCTGAAGAGCTACATGGGTGTAGCTTGCTGGGGTTACTACAGGTGGTATGGATTTGCTATAACAATTAGTGCAGCTATTAACCGTTGTCACAGGGTCTTAGCAGTATGGAGGTAGGGGGCGGGGGTAAAGAATAAGGAAGGTGTGGTCAAAGAGGGAGCAAAGAGCATTGAGTTGAGAGGTGGGCAAAGGCCCACCTTTACTGGGTCCTAAATTCATGGTGAGGTATTGAAAAATCATTCTGAATATCATGGAAGCCGTTGGAGTGGTGTGATGGGATTTATGCTTCATGTTCCCTGAGGATCCTGTACTTACCATGTGGACCCAGGAAGTTCGATTCGCCTCTTCCTTAGGGTGAATGTGTAGTCAACACAGGTATCATTGTGATCAGTTCCTTTCTTGACTGTTCAGTTATTTTTTTCTCTTCCAGAATATGGTTGAGCCCCTTATACCCACGAATTACCCATGGAACCCACACATCTGGAGAATCAACAACACATTTTAAAGCTGATCTCATCAGCTACTTGATGGCTTATAATGCTCCTTCACTCAAGGAGTGGATAGATATCATCCACAAGCATGATCTCTCTGAAACCAAGTATGTGGTGTTTAGCAATTCGGAATTCTTAAAGTGGGTGAATACCTTGAGAGCCACGCAGTATCTGCAGTGCAGGGGCTTAGGAAAGAGCTAGAATATTTGGCTGTCCTTCATAACATGAGAGCAGATTCTCTCACTATCTGCATCTCCTAGATCTGAGGCACTAAAGTGGAGGCCAGTAATTATCTTGCTCACCATAAGCCTCCCTCTGGAGTACTAAAGTGACTGATTTCATTGCCGGTACCTTTTACCTCGTGAGTGTTCCACCATGAGTTGATGTGCTTGAAAATTAGTTTGAGTAACAATTACTCTTCTGAGGAGGCACCTCAAGAAAATAGGTGGTTTCTTAGAACATCTCATGATAACATTAGTTTTTGTGTGTATTTTGTGATTTGGGGGTCCACAAATTATCACTCTGTTCTATAACTTGTATTTTATATCCTTTTAGTGTTTATCTTATTGGATCAACCCCAGGACGCTTTCAAGGAAGTCAGAAAGATAATTGGGGACATTTTAGGCTTAGAAAGGTAACAGAATTTTTACTGTTTTTTAAATTAATACATATTGTTCATTTATAATTGTATATTGTATACAAAATTGTATATTTTGATGGCAGCTTCATTATAACTAGCACAATTCTGGGTGAACAGACTCTTGATCAATTGATAGTTTTCAGTAATTACTTTTTAATGTTTTGTCTTTTAGAGGTGTAGACTGCTCTAAATGGCAAAAGCATAAGGACTTTTTTAGTTATTATAGATTTCTCATTCATGCAGCTGTTGTAGCTTTTGATTTCAGGATCTGAAGGATTTTTAACGCACAAATTCAACAAAGAACAGAAAAGTACTATTAAGTAAATAGTACTATAACGTATTTTGTTTACTAAACCAGGGCCTTTAAGAGTTATTACAAAAGAGGCCTTTGCTGGTGGTATGAAAATGACAAAGAAAAGTCTTTAACAAATTAAAACAATAAACAAGTTAAAGATGACGATTTTCTTCATCTCTGTTTAGGAGATACATTAATGACACTAATAAATTCCCTACGTGGCTATCGTAAAAGCTTTACCTTTTTCTGTGAAGTATTTGTCATGTAAGAATTACCCTTGGTTAATGAAACTTAATTTGCTTTTTTGAAATGAGACCACAGCTGAAAACATAAGATCTGGAAGCCAGCATCCTCATTTCTTGACCTAGGGAAGGCATTCGAGCACACTGGCTGAGTGGATAGCTTGGAGGTAGATTCTCATACCTGGGTTCAAATCCTCACCTGTTAACAAGTCATATGACCTGCCTCTCCTCTATAAAATGGGCATAACAACAGTACCTCACTCAGAAAATTGCATAAGGATTAGATGAACTTAGAGAAGGCAAGGCACATGTTGAGCCTTCAGTGTGCTGGTTGGTGGCTCTCAGTTTGTGGCCTGATGGTTGAGACAGGCTCGATGCTAGCACATGGTGTGTAGAATCAGTCTTCCTGGAGGATAAAGAGCATCTTGGTTTCCAGACCAATTCTCACAAGCTCCTGTTGCATCACAGCTGCCTTCCAGGGAAGACGGGAATGGTCAGACTTGTGTTTCACTGACCTATAAATGGAAGCCCAGGGACGTGTCCAGGGCCAGGTAGCCAATCAGGGGCTGAGCACCAGAACAGAAACTGGGTCTTGTAACTGTCAGTTCAGTCCTGTTTCTTACACCATGCTGCAGGAGGGCAGAAAGTGAGAACTAGGCTTTTATAATACTAAAGCTGTGTTAAGAAAAATAATACATATGAAATTAAACAATGAGCTCCATTGGGACAGGAACTGTGGCTTACTTTTCTTCAGCCTCTTGGTAGTAAACACACAGTACATGTTTAAGTAGATAAAATTTCCAAATATTTTTGAGTTGTTTCTGCAGCTTTGCATAAGTATCAAAGCGGGAAATGCAGATCAGGCTCCCTGTAGTGCTTAGGGTGCTCTGTATATATACATAAATACACTCTTATTTATTTATTTTTTTTTTAGAGCATCACTAGGTGGAGCCCAAGTGTGAAATCTCTTTCAAATGATAGGAGTCAAAATATACAATAGTTTGTATTTTTTTTAGGTATTATTTCAAGGCAAAATCTCATTTCATATGGCAGGTCAGTGGTTTATCTGACATTCCTACTAGAAGGGATCTTTTTTTTTGGCTTTCCAGAAAAGTCCTTGACAGCTTATTTATTCCAATCATACTTACAATGATGTTTCTAAAAGAAAATGCATTTGAATTCTCTTTTGAG